GGCCAAACCTTTTTCTCGCCCATGGGCGAAATATTTCAATATCACTATAAAACCGTTGAATTAAGTTAAAATGAGTTAAATTTTGTGTCATGATACTTCTTTCAATACATTTAATGCATTTGCGAAACAAAATCATGAGTTTTAAGTAAAGGAACATATTCTCGCCCATGGGCCAAACCTTTTTCTCGCCCATGGGCGAAATATTTCAATATCGCTATAAAATCGTTGAATTAAGTTAAAATGAGTTAAATTTTGTGTCATGATACTTGAATGAATACATTAAATGTTTTTGTGGAACAAAAACATGAGTTTTAAGTAAAGGAACATATTCTCGCCCATGGGCCTACCCATGGGCCAGACTTCGCCCATGGGCAGGCCCATTAGCGACATAGTCTAAATATTGAGTTTTTAAACAATTTTTTTTTCATTTTTTCTTCCTTGGTATGTTCCCATGAAAACGGCATGTTTAATTTTGTAAATACCTTTAACCGAGACTGGGCAAAGAGCGTAGAGTTTCTGGACTTTTGGGTTTCCAGAAATAAAATGGGACGTGTTCATATCATTCTCGTTGACTAAAACTATACATTATACAGAAAAGGATGGGAAAGCTAGAATAAAGCAAAGTAATGGGCTTAGATTCATAGACAATTTCTGTTATCTTCCCTGGACAATTAAGCTAATGCGAACAATCCCGATGACTTTGCAATGACAAATCAATATACTGATCGGTTAACACGGCATTTGTTGCTAAGAAAAGGTGTATATCCTTACGAATATATGGATGATTGGTCTAGATTCGACGAAACTAAATTAGCACCCCTTGAATCATTCTATAGTAACTTAACAGAATCTAAAATAACCAATGCCGATTATGAACACGCTCTGACGGTGTGGTATAAATTACAAATGCCCTGCCTGGTCCATCTTTAAGATAATAAAGAATAGGCTCTCCTTTTTTCATAACCAACCGACTAATGTTATATATCTTAAGGGACCAAATCAGATCTGTTGTGCGACGTAGGCCTCCTTCGAGTTCCCGGGGCTGGTATAAATATCTTACGCTTACTCTATCTGGAAGTTTTTGTTCTTTGCCTCTCCTCGGTGCTGAAGATTTGGAAGTCACGGATTTCATTTTAATCGCATTGGATGGGTTCTTCCCGATTAATCTTGTTACTTCATTATTCAGCGCTGATACAACAGCTGATAATCGTGTCACCCATTCGGTTGATCTTAATCGATCTGATTTCATTTCAATCCCATACTGATAGCCAAACAAACGTTCCGCTAATGTCCGGTTTAATCTTTCAACAATAGGTTGACTACGGTGGGCCTCTTTTTCGCCACGCCTGATTTCGACATCGTGCTTTGTTAACAGTTTAGTTAATGATCCCATAAACACGCGACCAGGATCTACTTGAAATAGCTTAGGCCATTTTAGTGGTCCGCGTTTATATATGCGGCTCAGTGCATTAGCTACTTCTTTTGAATCTTTCGAGGTTAATGGCTCAGCCTCCTTGTAGCTACTAGCCACATCCACTACGGTTAGAGCGTATTTATATGTTTTGCGTCTTACCTTATCATAGGGAAGAAACAAGAGGTCAGCCTGATGAACTTCATTCGTTGTAAAAATATCAAACTTCTTCCTCGGGATATAACCTCGGTGCCGGTAAGTATATTTGCCACATCGCTTGTTTCTTTAACCAATCCTTGGCCACATCTTTAGATACCTGAGCCGCAGTGGTCAATTTTTTTATTGCTCCTATACCTTTCCAAAATCCTCGTGGGCTATAGTAAATTTTATCCATTATTGATTAATATTGATGTTTCTTTTAATTAGTCTCATGACGATCATTGAATAGGATCATCATTTTTGCATAAAAAAATCCATCTGTAGTAGTGATATAGGTATATAAATCTGGCTCCAGTGGGGTTGCGGCATAACCCCCATTACCTAGACTACTCAGTGCGCAATTTACTTCACATTAATTTCTATTAATATATTTTGCCTCAGTCATATTCAGTGACTATGGGCATATGAGCAAAGTGAATAGCAAATACATGTATGTGATTTGGAGGCACATAAACATTAAACGTCAACGCCAAAGAACAACCAGTCTCGTCTATCCACGAAACAGATCTTTTGGACGCAAATGGCAAAATAGCAGTGAGACAATTATATGAATTGATCACTGAAAGTCAGGTGTTAGCGAAAAGAGTAAGCATAAAAGGGTTTGCATGAAAAGGTAACTTTGATGCCTGACCCCGCAGAGTAGAACTCTTGACAAATCTTGACGTTGGTACAGCTAGGCGTTAATAACCGCCTCGCGTCATATATACACGCAAATCATTTAAATGTATCTTTGACATGAAAACATATCGAACACAGAGTGACATATAGTCATATGAATAAATTGACCATTATTAAATATCTATCACTAAAGGACGGTAAAACGGTAAGGTAATTATAACGGCTTTGGTAGTAAACAAACAAACCTTTCAGAAGGTTAGTTAGTATAAATCAAAACCAGTCTATATACTAGCAAATATAGCTAGACCACCTTACTGGGGATAAAGGAAACTTACATTCAGTAGTTAAAGCGGACTCTTACTGTGGTTAACATAATTCGTATGGATTTGTCTCCCTTCAACAAACATTTAATGGTAGCAACTAAAACAAACCACAGGCTTTAGATGTGGTTTTGATCACCTGATTATTACATTTTGAAAATGCTTTGCTGGTGTTCGGTGACTTTTCATGGATGATATGTCGACCTTTTACGGTCTGTAATGGTAATATCTAGTTGGCTTAATATAATGTTGCGGTCGTTTATATCTATCGAAATTATGTTTGATTTAGCAGTATGCTCTAAGCCTGTGTAGAAACCTTCGCAAAGCTTGTTTAGTGGGATGGAGCTCTCTGTCATCCCCTTTTCCACTGAAACGCCAATTGTAATTTTTTGTACAATTAGATTTTTTGTCTGTACCTAAGGTAAATAATAAGTTGGTCGGATCAGATTTATGTTGATCAAGCTGTGACCTTGAACGGAATTCTTCTCTATGATGTTCATCCCCAAAATCTTCCTGACTTTCACGGGAGAGGACATGCTGTGTGTTTGACAAGTGTGAAAAAAACATTGGTACATTGTGGTATTCTGCTTTGCTACATATTTTAGAAATGAACAAATCAGAAATGAAAGATATCAGAAAACACGAATAATCTATAAGGTTTGAAGCATTCTGAAAAATGAACATGTACTTTATGCAATTATTAATGTTCGTATTATCACCACAATGGCCACACATGGTATGTACATCGGAAGGTAACTCAGATAGATAAAACTTTTACCAAACACAATATTGACTGTATCTTTGGAATGGGGGATGATTTCTAACGAATGTTTATTTCTACCAGTAATATTGTCACCACTAACATTTCTCGACATTGTCGAGCATTGAACGTGTTCCATGTATTGGCTTAATCTTTTATTATTAAGAACCAGAAGACCACTCAATATTTCTTGATTAAATTTCGCATATATATCAGTCCAGCCCTAACGTGGGTGGTGCCTTCGGAAAGTTTCGATGACAGCACATCGGATTCGAAACTTGTTGCATAAATTCATGTGTCATTATGAGTGGGAGCAAGACTGTGAAGTTTCAGCTTTGTTGCTCGAGTGGTGTCTAATTTATGAGGAGAAAATATTTGGACTGTGAAAGAATTTAGGATCGCGGACAAATTTCGAACGTGAAATAACGTGAAAAAAAACGGAACGTGTTTTGAGCCCACTACTATCTACACATATACCATACTTCATGCTATTTTGAACAAAAATAATTGGGAAATGACCATATGAAGTTTCAGCTTTTAGTATGGTCAACGATCAAATTAAAGTAAAAATATCGCAATAGAAAAACGGAACATGCACCAAATTTCATTATATTTTTAACAAATAGGGCATAGTAAAGGCCATATTGAAAATCGGACTATTTAACAGTTTGGTTGGTTGGATGGTTTGTTGTTTAACGCCGCACTCAGCAATATTCCAGCTATGTGATGGCGGTCTGTAAATAATCGAGTCTGGACCAGACAATCCAGTGATTGACATCATGAGCATCGATCCACGCAATTGGGATCGATGACATGCATCAAACCAAGTCAGCGAGCCTGACCACCCGATCCCGTTAGTCGCCTTTTACGACAAGCATGGGTTGCTGAAGACCTATTCTACCCCGGAATCTTCACGGGTCTTGACAGTTTGGGGGTGTTGTGATTAGTTTGGGGGTGTTGTCATTAGTTTGAACAAATATATGAAGTTTCTGGTTCATGTGTGTTGTAAGTTCTGATGAGTACATGCTCTTTACGACAGACACACGACGACATAAGCTCATCTGACTTTTATCAGGTCAGGTGAGCTAAAAATGATCGATATTGTGACAACTGGCTTCGGTTTCATCCATTCGAATAAAAGTTTGTGTAAATAGAAAAGTAATGTTTTTTATTGAAGATTAAATCCATATTTCGCTTTTGTGTGAACTCTATGTCGATGTCAAAAAGAAATGAATTACCCAATCATTTTCAAAAAGCAGATAGCAAACAAAACTAGATAAATTTACTTGGTAGATGATGATGATGATGATGATGTTAGAGTCTTAAACGTACGTTACTATTGCGTTTTAAAGATTGTTGATAAATATCCAATTAATGGCCACACATGGATGTGGATATAACAGCAAATCGGAAATAAATGTTCTTTTCATTGGTGGGACCAAGTATGCCATATATCAGTCCACTTGAGTCTGAGAATTTTGCAGGCGAAAGACACCGGATAAACGCACTTGACCATTTTTTCAAAAGTTGTTATAAACGATTATTTGTTTTGCCATACTTCTCATAAGATTTTTAAAGTGGTTGAACTGGACACGTAAAGGCCCGGATAACAAGATCACACACTACAGGCCTTTCGGGTCCACTTGGATCATTCACATTTTTTTTACTTCAGGTATCCCGATGTGGCTACTGTCTGTTGGTGATGGCTTTCTTTTGGGTCACAGAGATAATCCCTCTGGCCGTCACCTCTCTTCTACCAATATTTCTCTTTCCACTGTTTGGCATCATGTCCGCTAAAGATACTTGCATGAGCTATGCCAAGGTGAGTGATGATTGTTATTGGCAGTGTATATGGTAACTTTTTCTGATGAAAATTGTGGCCGAAGAATATTGCGGCGCTCGTAAAATACTGAGCTTGATTTTTTTGTGGTTAGTTGTTTTTCGATTAGCTCGTGTGTGACCTCCTTTAGTGCTCCATGTCCAAGCTCCTTCACAGCGTTGTGCACAGTTAGCTTCGCTATGAAGAACAAAATGTTTGTTTACCGTTGTTGATCGACGACATTAATTGGAGGGCTTGGTGGAGATCGATCACTGCCGCGGGAGACCAAGCGGCACTTTCAAGCGAGATTCGAAGATTTACATGCGAGATTTTCGTGAATGGACTAATTAGTTGTCCAATCCGTGACATATTTATTAACGTTGGGTCATGTTAGTTGTCTTGATTTGTTAGAGGACATTTATAACATATAAGTAACTATATGTGTTCGCTCATTTTCTTGTCAGTTAACGAACGGAATGAAATGAGCCAAATGCAAATGGCTGCCTGCGAGATATTCGCAATGTATCCATTATCCAGTACAAATTACTCCACTAAATATGAAACAAATTCCCGAATTACTGGAGTCAATCGGAAGATTTATTATATGTAATTGTTTCCGTTATTTATTTGGTCATTTTGTGAAGGATGTCCACCAGAAAATATCACTAAAATTATTACTTTTTGTCGACCACTCTTCTTGACGCAACATCTTACAGTACATGTATCTCGATTAAACATCGTTTTAATGAACTAAAAGTAGATTTTAATATTTGACCATTATTTTGTGCATGCGACTAAAATATTATTAAAGTTTCTTTTTGTTGTTGCGAATTTGAGAAAAAAACGTCGAATATTTCATGTGATAATCGTCTTGTTGAGATGATGTTTGCTGAAATTGACATTTTAATGACGTTATGTTTGGACTACTTTCTATGCTAAACAATAGATTAATTTGGTAAAATAATTTACACTTTTTCAAAAAATAAAAATAATAATTTTTAATGAGAACTAATAAGAATATCAGTGATTTTCAGTGCAATTGTTTTGGTTTTGGTTTAAAAGAAAAAAATGTCTTTACCATAACATATTTGTTGAAAATTTATGATTTCTTAATATATTAAATTAATTACCATATTCTCATCCAACTTTTCAAAAGAAGTTAGGCGGGAGGCATGTTATATTATTGTGTTTTTTGTTAAACCGAGTCATGCATGTGTCGTCCTTCTTGACCGCTGCCAATAGAAAAGCAGCAGGGCGTCAATCTTCACCTCCAGCGGCGGCGGGCGAGGAGCTCAGGCGCTCTAGGGCATTTTAACCAGTCTAGGACAGGACGTGGCTCCATGTTATGGCTGTGTGCCGAATAACATAAATGTTTAAGTGTAATTATTTACACTTAGGAATTTAAAATAAATATATGTCTTTCGTGTGTATGCATATCATTATACACATGTGAGACAAAGATAACATATCTTTTAGAAGTTTGGTTACATCTTTCCAACGATTACTCATCCCCATGGCCCATACCCCCATGTCATTTTCTTAAACTCATAGCTAATAACGCGCTGCGCCTGGTGCCGTGGAATTACACTCATGAACGGGGCAGTGATCGTTAATGATAATCTTCTGCTAATGCCTATCCACTGGAGTATGGTCTCTGTAAGACCAGACTTGCGTCTATCTGTTTTCTCAGTGCGAATGGGATACCGTTCGGAAAAAGACCAGTTTTCTGCCTGTTTCCATCACTAATTACTGGATTCCAAGTTCGAGCTGGTGCCTCATTCAAGATATGCAAGTGTGAAAAATACTGATCATTTTGAGTGGACTGACTTAGAACTTGATATTATATATACTGCTGCTGCCACATATTTTGACCCATCATATTGCCTTATATAATGATAAACCCACCCCGTGTATTTCAATATAATTTGTTGATTGTTCGTTTGTCTTGTTTCGTTATTTACTGATCTCACAATCTAGTTCTTTGTGTACCGATTTCTGAGTTAACCATTGTGTTTCAATGTGGGAATCATCACGTGATAGTACATATATGCTTATGGGATTTGTTTGGGCAGCTGTTACTGGTGGAACTGCAAATATATGTTATAATATATCCATTAAATAGTTACGTGGATAATAACAATGGCATCATGATCAAACAACCGATGATACAGGAACTATATTGTGACGTGTGTCCTAAATATAGAGCTTGAAGAGCACTTAGTGAGTCTGATAGGATGACTGCCTTTGCTTCTGGTAGTTCCGGTATAAGTTGAGTGCGTGAGAAATTGCCTCCCAATTAAGCACTTAATACTGATTGATCAGGTAGGCGGACAGAATGTGCCTGGGGTTAGGACCTATGACAAGGGATCCCGTAGCCAGCAGTGTCTTGCAATACAATGTACATTGGAAGTAGTTTGAATGAAGTTTGAATGTTAGTGATATACCTACTGATCATAGTGGGGTTGAATGTTAAACGATAATATTGCCTGTTCTCTCCTTAGTTTCAACGCAGCAGGGTTTGGAATTGTTTTCTGTCAAGATGGCTCAAGACAGTGTTTGATGCAGATTGAAAGGTCTCACAAACCATCGTATATGTTTTATTTGATTTTCACTTGAAAGTGTGCACCCTCATTTATTGTACCATCTACCGTTGTAGATAAATGAGGGTTGACTCGAGGTATTTTTTAGTTGTGATATGTCTCTGTGATTTACCCATATTGCTCCGTCATCAGCGAATTTAGAAGTTTGGGTATGAGAGTTGACATGATAATTGATCATGAAATTAAAAAGGGTTGGGCTTATTATGCTGCCTTGTGGCGTGCCGTTTCCAATCACATCGGGTCAGATTGACTGTTCCCTATGTTAACTGATAGTGACCTGTACAGCACCAGACTGTGAAGTTTGCCGTATTCTCCTCTACTCCATTTTGCGTTATTTTTGTGAGGAGTCCATTTATGCCATAAACACGTCCCATTTTAATTCTGGAAACCCAATAGTCCAGAAACTCTTTGCCCAGTCTCGGTCAAGGGTATTTATAAAATTAAACATGCTGTATTCATGGGAACATACCAAGGAAGAAAAAATGAAAAAAGAATTGTTCCAAAACTCAATATTTACACTATGTCGCCCATGGGCCTGCCCATGGGCGAAGAGTTGACCATGGGTAGGCCCATGGGCAAGAATGTTTTCCTTTGCTCAAAACTGATGTTTTTGTTTCGCAAATACATAAATATATTTCTTTCAAGTATCATGACACAAAATTTAACTCATTTTAACTTAATTCAACGATTTTATAGCGTTATTAAAATATTTTGCCCATGGGCGAGAAAAAGGTTTGGCCCATGGGCAAGAATATTATCCTTTGCTCAAAACTCATGTTTTTGTTTCGCAAATACATAAATGTAATTTTTCAAGTATCATTACACAAAATTTAACTCATTTTAACTTAATTCAACGATTTAATAAAGTTATTGAAATATTTCGCCCATGGGCGAGGAAAAGGTTAGGCCCATGGGCGAGATTATTCCTTTGCTCAACAGTTTTAGTTTCGCAAATACATATTGGTGTTATAAGCATGACACATGATTCAACTCATTTTAACTTTTTACAGCGTTATTATAATATTTCACCCATGTCTTCGTCAGTCCCTTTACGGCATTCACTAATTTAGTACAAAGTATATTTATTATGTGAAATATACTTTATATTATATCATTACATTACTACATATTGTAACGATCTTTAATGAACCCGGCCTTACCTCTCAAAACGTTTTGAAAGTTTATCATACGAATTCATGCGCTTGAACACCAATTCATTGGCGTTATTTTCCACAACATTAAAGTTCAGTTAGTTTCTTTTTCATTTTCCATTTCATGTCTCGGTGATACATCACACTGGGCAATTACGTGACACTAGGTTTGCAATATACAGGTACGCGTGCGCGTATTTCAATGGAAAAAACGATCGTCTTACATTGCATAACGCCTGGCTGAATATCTCACATTCTAACGAAATCTTGAAACGATTATTTAATTACATGCGGTGTCGAACTGACCAATAGGAATTATGTTTCAATGTGATTGAGGACAACTTGAGTGAATATTGTGACATGAAAGCAACTTGTAAATGCTTCACCAGTATTGGTTTGAAAATTGTAACAGTTCAGAAAAAAACACAGCCTTCTTATGATAATTCTCATATTCTCATTAGTACGTTGTATCTAATAACAGTGTCGGCCTTATTTACAGGTGATTCTACATTACCTGCTCTCGGTCAATTACAATCTACCACACCACGCGTGAAAAAACAGTCATGCAGGTGTTGCTGTGGGCAAATACCTAGCCTGTATATGTATATTTTTGTGTGGATACATGTATTACATATTTTCGTTGATATGTGGATATATTAAGCACAAAGACAAAATAAAGTTTATGAAAGATGAATTAGTGCCCTGATATATTCAACGTGATGTTTATCATCGTTTAATGAGTCATTCAATAAAAGTATGTTTGGAGGCGATATCAAAGGCGCCGCCCAATATACACAGTGTCGTCCGGTGAACTCCCACCCCACCCTGTCCGTAATAGTAATGTAATCGGTACACAAATATATTTGATGCGGTGTCAGTGTGGAAGCAGTTTGAATTATGTCCGCCACTGGCCACAGAAATCCTCAAAGTATAGTAACAATCAACAAGGTCAGTGCCGTACTAATAACCTAGTGACGCACGTAACAACGACTGTCAATCTGTCTGCTACAGCTACCATACCATCATCCCTGTCACAACTGGCGTATTAACGGCTTATTCAAAATATTAATTGTAGAAAGTTCGTTAAGAGACTAACGTATGTCGTATACAGTCATCTTATTTGATAAAAAAGTAAGTACGTCAACTGGGAATTCAACTGGATGTTACCTTCTATATATCAGCTAACAGCCCTGTTTGTGAAAATATGTACTAGACATGAGATTTACAGACTAATAAAATCAATTTTAAGACC